TTGTTTCCTGGGAGGGGCTCCATAAGGCCAGATGGAAATAACACCCAGACACTGCCAGGAGGAAGATCAAGTCTATTTATTCCTGGGGCAACAAGGAAGCCAGTGGGGAATCCAGTGAGAGCAGGAACTGACAGCATCACCCTGAGTTTCACATCCAGGAGCCCAGCTCTGCCAGTCCCAAGAAGGGACACATGGGAACATTAACCTGGGTCTTACCCAGGGTTGTCTATGAGCAGAGGCTGTCCTTCCTAGATGGGCTGGGCCAGGGATGTTCGGAGGCCCCCGGACTGGGGTTCAGGACACCTGGGTTCTAGTCCGGCCTGAGTCACTGACCAGCAGTAAGACCTCGGGTCAGTGTCTTCCTTGGATTCAGGGAACAGAATGAAAGAATAAAACAAATGGCTGCTTGAAGTCAGAAGCAGAACTTTCTCTAGCCATAAGTAGTGGCAGGTCCCGACACCAAATGATGGCTCAATCAACACAGACCAGGTCCCTCCCAGGTCTGGGCTCTCTTGCAGAAGACAGAGCTGTCCCCAGACAGTGAGGTCCCATGGTGGGCACAGTAGGATGGGAGTCTCTGAGGGGGCTGGTGGTAGGATTGGACAGGACTCTGTGCAAAGGCTTTTTTGATACCTTGAGAAAGGGGCCAAGGCAGGATGTGAACCCAGGGCTATCTCATCCCAATGTCTCAACGCTGTTGAGTTAGTGGCTCTTGGTATCTACAGATCTCAGAAATGGCACTGCTCTCCCATCAGCACCCAGCCCCCCTACCTTGTCCTGATGTCCTTTCACTCTCCTGCCCTTTAGTGACTCAGCTGCCCTGAGACACAAGGCTCCAGGCCCTGGAGTGCAGTCTGGGCTCGTCCCTCTGCTCTAGAAAACATCCTTTCTCCCTCACCCTGGTTGCTGTTCAGGCATCTACTGCACTCCAGATTTAAGCAGAGGCAACCAGACCTGGGTCCTGTCCTGCCTGGAGCCATCACAGGAAGCGAATGGAATCAAGGTCATGAGCAATGTGCCCCAACCTGTAAAACATGACGGGGCAGCTAAGTCTGTGGCACTCATCAGAGGAGGAATCCACCCTTGCCTTGAGCCTCCTCCATTCAAGACTTTGTTAACCAATAGGCTGCAGCTCTCTGGGAAAAAAAATAAATATTACATTATTATGTGGCTTCCAACATCCTTGAGGGCAAGTTTCAGGACACCATGTTTAATTGGTGAAATCCATTCCCTAATCTATATATTTTCAATTAAAAAATAACAGCTTATGACCAACTCTAGTGGTTATCTAACCTACTAAAGTGTTGCAATCTGCTCTTTGGAGCTACTCAGCGGCTGCAGGAGAAAGGACACCAGAGACCAGAGGGTGATGTGGGGTTGGGAGGGGAGCATGCTGTACCCCTGCCCCCATGGGTGATAAAAAAAACAGTTAGGACCCTGGTAATTGCACAAATATTTCTGCTATAGCAGGACCTTCCCTGGACTCCTAACTCTAGTCTCAACCTTCCTGTCCACCCTCCTCCCAGCAGATACTGGGATATTCACAGACACAAATCTGAATACTTTCCTTCCGTGCTCAGGACCTGGCCATGGTGCCCAGTGTCCTGAGGATAAAGTCCTGAGTCCTGGGACTTCCCTGGTGGTGCAGTGGTTAAGAATCCGCCTGCCAATGCAGGGGACACAGGTTCGAGCCCCAGTCCAGGAAGATCCCACGTGCCGTGGAACAACAAAGCCCGTGTGCCACAAATACTGAGCCTGCGTGCCTAGAGCCTGTGCTCCGCAACAAAGAGAAGCCACTGCAATGAGAAGCCCTCGCACCTCAACAAAGAGTAGCCCCTGCTCACCACAACTTGAGAAAGCTCCCACACAGTTAGGAAGACCCAACGCAGCCAAAAATAAATAAATAAAAATAAATAAATTTATTTTTTTAAAAAAGAATGGAACTGTCAGCTTACTACCAAGGGTAGATTTGAGGTCAAGTCCCAGTGATGCTTTTTTTTAAAAATTTACTTATTTTATTTTTGGCTGCGTTGAGTCTTTGTTGCTGCGCGCAGGCTTTCTCTAGTCGTGGAGCGCGGGGGCTACTCTTCATTGCTGTATGTGGGCTTCTCATTGCGGTCGCTTCTCTTGTTGCAGAGCACGGGCTCTAGGCGCGTGGGCTTCAGTAGTTGTGGCACTCGGGCTCAGTAGTTGTGGTTCACGGGCTCTAGAGCTCAGGCTCAATAGTTGTGGTGCACAGGCTTAGTTGCTCCACGGCATGTGGGATCTTCCCGGACCAGAGCTCGAACCCATGTCCCCTGCATTGGCAGGCGGATTCTCAACCACTGCGCCATCAGGGAACCCCTCACCTCCACCCCAGTGATGCTTACGTGGTACTATGAGTCAGACATCTTCTAAGGGATCGACCCATGAGTTAGATACGTTATAGTATCAGCCCCATTTTGCAGGTGGGGAAAACTGAAACCCAGAAAGGTTGTCACTTGCCTAAGTTCACACACTGGAATGTCACCAGAACTCAAATTCAGGCAGCCTGGCTCTGAATGAGGGCCCTGGACCACCATGCTCTCCTATCTCCCGTGTGGCAGCAAGGCGATTAGCCCTCTTCGGGCCTGTTCACTCAACCGTGAAATGGGCTTCCCATTAGTCACCTCTCCAGTTTGCTGCAAGGGTTAAACGACATCGGGCTTAGGTCCAGAAGTGTTTTTAAAATGGGCCCCTTTGTTTCTTCAGTTCCTTGCAGGAGGATGCGAGGAGAGGCCTGGCCGCCTGCCTCCCATGTTAAGTCCTGGTGAGTTGTCCAATGCTCCACTGAGAGGAGAGACAAAACAGGGCAGAGATCCAGACCCTGGGTCTTCCAGAAACCATGGGGCGAAGTGCCCAAGGGCCTGTGTGCCTCTCCCCACCCCCCACTCTCGGCTGGGTGAGGGGCCCCTTGGCTTTACCGCGGTCTCCCCGCTCCGGACCGGACCACACCGCATCCTGTTGGGGCTCTGCCAGAGAAGGGAGCGGAGTCTGGGTTCCCACTGGGAAGTCCCGCGGGGTGTGATGCAAAGCCTTCCCTGCCCCCCAGGCAGATAAATGCGCAGAGCCAGCCTGGAGCTGCTAGCCATCTCCGCGCGCCCTGCCTGCCATGACCCGCCGCTGCGCGCTGCTAGCCTGGGCCCTCCTCGGCCGGCTGTCCTCAGCCTCGGAGCGGCTCAAGAAGACTCGGTAAGCTGCATATCCATCGTGCCCCGCAGAGAGTGGAAGGCCCTGGCGTCCGAGCGCAACCAGCGCCTAGAACGGGCCCGTGCGCTACGCGGTGGTGTCGCACGCAGCGGGCAGCGCCTGGGACACCCCAGCCTCTTGCCTGAAGCAGGTCCAGAACGTGCAGCACTACCACGTGCGGACGCTGGGCTGGTGCGACGTGGGCTACGAGTGAGTGAGGAGAGGCAAAAGCTGGAGACGGGACTGGAGCAGCGGAGGAGCGCGGGCCCAGAAGACTGCAGGGACCCTATTCTAGAGCCGCCTGGCCGACACCCCGGGCACCTTACTCAACCGCGCAGCATCTTCGTTTGGCCCCAGGGTCGCCGCTTAGGGCTGGGCGTGTGCAGGCAGCGCAAAGATGCTAGGAGGAGGGGAAGCAGCTGCAGGCCAAGCTCTGCCCCCAGAGGAACGGACAGACTTTGCCAATACACAGGAAGATGTCCTGTGCACTGGATTCCCTTGGTAAGTCTGGTGCCTCGTTAAGCACCAGGCCAGGTTGCCCTCCCAGCTCCATTTACTGATGGCTGAGCCCTGGGGCAGGCATTCACCCTCTTTCAGCTTCAGTTTCACCTTCCTCCTCTGCAAAGTCAGGGGGGTCATGGCCCACTCCATCACTAAGCCAGCCAATACCACTTAGGACACTGCCTGGGAGTGGGAGCCCCCAAATCCATGGACTGTTGGTGCCTATTACTATGTGCCAGGCTGTGCGCCATATGCTGGGATGAGGGCACAGCCATGAGCAGTGTGAATCTAGCCCAAAGGGATTTAAAGACCAGCAGGCAGCAACAGGTGAGAAACAAGCAAAGTCAACAAGATGAATTCAGATGGTGAGAGAAGAGATGGAGAAAAGGAGCAGAGTGACTGACGCGGCTCCGGCATATGGGAGCCGAGAGGAGTGTAGTAAGCTGGGGGTACAGCAGAGGTAGAGGCCAGGAGGCTGAGTGAGTGGATCATTCCTGGGAGACAAAGGTCAGGGTGGCTGGAGGTAGCCGGGAAGAGTGATATGAAATGAGGAAGGAGTTGGCAGGGGCCAGGTGGCACAGGGTCTTGTGGGCCATGGGGAGGACCTCCGTTCTACTCTAAGACAGAAGCCATGAGAGGGATGTGAGCCTGCTTGGATATGAGAAGCTCCCTCTGGCTGTAGTGTGGAGAACAGACTTTTGGGGGGTGAGGGCAGAAACAGGGGCAGGGATTGGTTAGATCTGCCTCTGGGGCCCATGCCCACCAACTCCCTTTCCAAGGTAATAGGCTGGGGTCCTGCACACGGGCTTCTATAGCAAGAGACTCTACTGGTTCTCAAGCCTCGGTAAACACCAGAATCACCTTACTGGAAATGCAGGTTCCCAGGCCCCACGCTTAGAGACTGCTTCAGTAGGGCTGGGTTGAAGCCAGAAAACCTGAGGACCTCGCTTGGAAAAATCTGTAAGCCTTCAAGGGCATCCCCAGCTCTTCTGGCTCAAGATTTTACAATTCAAAGGCTCCAACTTCAAATTTTTTTCCAAAAGTCAGGCGCTCCAATTCTAAGCGTTTCCCTGAAGGAATGAAGAGCAGAGCTTGGCTCCACAGCCTCTAAATCACCTTACAGAAAAGCAAACTGAAGTTTGTTTCTCAGATTTTAGGATTCAGAGTCTGATCCAAATGTTTGGAATCCCCCTTCCTTGTCGCATCTTGTTTGGAGCCTCAGTTTTTTCACCTGTAAAATGGGGCTCCTGACTACCCACCAGGTGGTGGGGTTTGAAGTTTAAATTAGATGCTAATTTAAATTAGATGCTAATTAGCTCTACATTTAGCTAATGTAGAGTACCAACTGCTTGTGCCAGATGCTGGGGCTGTGGCAGGACCATAACTGGCCCAGTCCTGGGGGTCAATATCACTATGGTATTTCTAGTCTCTTCAATCCAGATTCTGAGAGTCTGGCTTCCCAAGTGGCAGATTCAGGACCCAGTATTAGAGTTCCCACATTCTGTGCATCCTTGGTGACCCTGTGAGCCAGAGGACTGAGGTGACAGATATCGCATCTCCAAAACGCCAGTCTTCTGGTTAATTCCAAATTTGTGCCAAATCAAACTCGCTCAAGCAGGACATGTTGAATGACTGAACCTGACAGATCTGCTGCCAGGATTGGAAACCTCAAAGAGGCAGATGCTGGGGCTCCAGGGTTTGTGTCTGGTTGCAGCGCCAACCCTAGAGTCCCTGATCCTGTCACTCAAGTGTACCCCAGCAGGGAAGAGGAAGCAGGAAGCAGGCTGGGGAGAGGGCAGAAGAGCTTCTCAGTGGACAGTTCTGAGAAGCATTAGTGTCCAGGACGTGACCTTGGGTAAATAATCTAAGTCTGCTTCCTCAGCTTAAAGTGGGGATGACAACAGTGCCTGCCTCTGAGGACTGCATGTGAGAATTCAGCAAATCAAGAGCTCAGCCAATCCTCCAGGGAGGCAGGAGAGAGCCAGACCATGTGGGTGGGAGTCACGGAGACCTGGGTGAAAATCCTGACTCCTCACAGGGCTGAGGATGCAAAAAGGTGCATGTAGAGCTGCGCTTGACAAATGGCAATGGCCACGGTCATTGGTCTTACTGTGGAAGATTAAAGGACAGGAGGAGGGTGTTGGGGAAATTGTGTGTGAGTGACAGGGACAGGGGCGGGGCGAGCAGAGAACAGGGAGTCAGTCCTCCCCCCGCCCGGGGAAGCCCTCCGTCACTCATCCAGACCACTCTCCCACCCCCACAGCTCCCTGATGCGAGAAGAGAGGCTCCAGTATGAGGGCCGGGGCTGGAACACCTTGGGCGCCCACTCAGGTCCCACCTAGAACCCCATATCCCTCGGCATCTCCTTCCTGGATAACTACATGGGTAAGTGACTGTCCAGCCATCAGCTAGGGGGCTGACATGGAGCCCGGGGGATGGCACCGCGTGGTGAGTAGTTGCTGGGAGGCTCTGCCACCTAGAAGCTCTGTGACCTCGGGCAAGTGACTCTGCTTCTCTGAGCCTTGTTTCCTCTTTTGGATAAAGACCATTTTCAACCACATGGTTTCAGTGAAGATTAGTCTGTCTCTATAAAAGTTCTCAGACCAGTCCATGGCACCTAAGAAGTGCTTGATAAATGCCAGCTATTGCTGCGGCTTGGCTGGGGAGGTCGGGGGGCAGATGAGGGCAAATAAGCAGTAATCTTGACAGCTGACACTTGCTGAGGGCTTACTCTGTACATAAAATAACTCTTTTGATTATCCCACAGCACTGTGGGCAGGTGCTGTCATTCTCCCCTTTCACAGATGAGGAAACTGAGGCACAGAGAGGTTCTGTCATTCTCCCCTTTCACAGATGAGGAAACTGAGGCACAGAGAGGTTAAGTCACTGCTTGGTGGCGGCAGGCTGGGTTCTGGGCCCTAGCAGGCCAGCTCAGAGTACAAAATCAGAAGCACTACCCACACTCCCTCTGCCCTTTTAGGAAGCCCCAGCCTAACTTCTGCCTCTACCTCCCACAGATCGGGTGCTCCCGCCCCGCGCCATCAGGACAGCCCAGAGTCTGCTGGCTTGCGGCGTGGCTCAGGGATTCTTGACTCCTAGCTACGAGGTCAAAGGACACCGGGATGTGTAGCAGACGCTCTCTCCAGGCTACCAGCTGTATGAAATCATCCAGCAATGGTCACACTACCACCGCGTGTAAGGCCCTGTCCGTCTTCTCACACACACACCCACCCCATCAGAAACCCCACTGCCTCCCCTCCCCCAATAAAGGCGAACCTCAAACTGTATTTCCATGTCCCGCCATCCCCCTCCCCACCCTCTCTCTCCCCCATAAGATCCCAGCCATCCCCCCACAACCTCCCAGAACTCTGACCTTGCTCAGAACCCAGAGGCCCCGACCCTGAACCAAGACCCCAGAGATCCCAGCTTGGAAGCCAAATCACAGCTCAGAACCCAGAGGCCTCAGGTCACAGCACAGGAATAGCACCAAGTCAGCTGAGATGTCACCACCAGAAGCTCAGGGGTCCTTCCTCACCTCCCGGGCAGTGAGCCATGCGGCAAGACACCCCCTCTCTACCACACTGCCAAAGACATCCTGGGCAGCATCTCTGCTTGAACTCCTCTAGGGACAAGCTGCTCACTCCCACCCCTCAGGTCCCCCCCCAGCGCCATCGCTTTAGAGAGTGCGGGAGTTTTTCCTGAGCCTGTACTCCAATCTGCCGCCCAGTCATAGGCATGGCCAGAAATACACACAGGTCCCAGTTACACCCCCTCCCCACCCAATCTTCATTCCTCCTCACTCCACCCCGACCCTTCAGTCATAAGCTGAGGGATCCCAAGAGCACATATGTTTATTTACAAAACACACTTACCCTCCCTCCCAGAATGCAATGCCTGCGGGAGACGTAGGGATTGGGGCCTCACACACCTGAGACCCCAACAGCACCAGGAGGAGTGGGGCCTGGGCGGGGCCAGGACACACCAGCCCCGCCCCTCACGCCGAATCCATCCGAATCCATTGGAGGGGCAGTAGTCTCTCTCTGAGGTCACGAGTGCACGTCCAGTCTGTTCATGTATTCCTGCAAGGCCTTCAGGCGGGCGTCGATTTCGGCCATGTCAGCTGCCTGGTGGTCCGAGCTGTACTCTGTGAGAGCAGGCGTGGCTGTGGGGTCCGTGAGGGGCCCAATATCCTGCCCTCAGTAGCATCCCAGTGGGCTCTGGGGCAGGTGAGGGGGAGATGTGGAGTCCCAGGCTCACCTTTGATGGGGACCCAGCCCCCCGAGTCTGCCAGGCGTCTCTGATGGCGGCCGCGTTCCAGGGGGCTAGGCTTCTGCTGCTGGGGGTGGCAGGAAAGGGGGTCAGGCACCCTCTATGCCTGCCCCCCAAATCCCACCGGCAATTCTGAACCAAAGGACCTCATAAAAATTAACGGTTGACACCTACTGAGTACTTATATGCAAAATAAGCTCCTTGTAGCTTCACCAGAACCCTCAGACATGAATGCCATTACCATCCCCACTTAACTGATAAAGAAACTGAGCTACGGAAGCTAAGTAGCTACCTTGAGTCACACAGGTTCTAGGAAGGGGAGGCAGGTTTCAAGACCTGGCAATTTGAGGCCAGAGCCGGTGCTCCTAACCAGAGTCTCCTGCCCCCACCTCAGCCCCATCCTCCTCTCCAACCCAAAGGTCTCAAAACACTGCCGCCAGGGCTTCCCTGGTGGCGCAATGGTTGAGAAGAGTCCGCCTGCCGATGCAGGGGACGCGGGTTCGTGCCCTGGTCCGAGGAGATCCCACATGCCGCGGAGCGGCTGGGCCCGTGAGCCATGGCCGCTGGGCCTGCGCGTCCGGAGCCTGTGCTCCGCAACGGGAGAGGCCACAACAGTGAGAGGTCCGCGTACCACAAAAAAAAAAAAAAAAAAAAAAAAAAAACCCACAAAACACTGCCTCCAGAGGCATTGCGGAGCCGCTTTTACAACCTGATCCCCTAGAATGGAATCATGGGAGAAAGAGCCAGCGAGCTTCCGGTGGTTTAACGCTGCCCCTGCCTTCTCCAAAGCCTGAGGAAAGACACTCACCGTATTGGACCCACTCCAGGTGGTGGGGCTGGGCGGCTTCCCCCGGCGATGAACGCTGAGAGGACGGAGTAATCAAGGACCAATGGGAGGGGTCTGTGGTACCTCCCACCTGGCCCTCTTCCTTGGTTTCAAGGCTCCAGCCTCCATCACCCAAGTTCCCCGCAAAAGACTGTTTCGAGTCTCCCCAGACACCTGTTTGGGGGCGGTCCTTTCCCCCAGCCCAAGTTTTACCCTCTAGGGAGGGATTCAGAGAAATCCTCGAACTCGCTGCAGGAGCTGGCGGACGAGTAGCGGCTGCGGAAACTGCCCACTAGAGGGAGAAGGAGAGTGTGAGCCTCTTGCACTGGCCACAGCCCCGCCCAGCTCGTCGGCCAGTCCCGCGCGCTCCGGCCCAGTTACCCGAGGAGCTGCGGTTTCGGGAGCGGTTAGCCGCGTCTCCTCGACAGGTCACGGCTGCGGGGGGCCGAGTTTGGCGAGACCAGGAGGTGGATGGACCGTCCCCGCTTCCTCCGCTGCCCAATCGGTTTCGCTGCTGCTGCTGCCTGGAGAACAAGAAAGGAGACGCCCACCTGTGCACCCAACTAATTCGGGAAAGGGCGTCGCTGCGCCCCGTGGGTCATACCTAAATAGGGAAAAATCATGCGGAGACACAGACCAGGTAGGGGTGGGAGAGACAAATAAGCAGGGCGGGGGGATGGGGGAGGCTGGCGATCAGGAGAGGGGATGGAGGTCAGGCGGGAAGCAAGAGCAGGTAGGGGGAAGGGGAGAGATGGAGCAGGTGACAGGTGATGGAGGTGGGAGTTGGGGATGGACGGTCAGAGGGTCAGGTAAAGGGGCAGGGATATGGGCAGGCGAGGAGAAAATGGGCGCTAACTTCATCTTGATCGCTCTCTGCTTCTTCTCCTTGGCTTTCACAAAGGCTGTTGGGTCGAAACGGGGCACGCGACCACCTAGGACCGGGTGGGGGTGGGGTGTGGCGAGAAGAGGAGGCTGGAGTCATAGGATCACGCCTCCACAGTTCTAGTTCCATCCACCTCCTCCCACGGGCAGGGCTGGGTCGTCACAGACCTGTGGGCGAGGGCGAGGGGCGGCCAGGGCGGCCTTGACCCCGGCCCCCGCGGTCGCTCTCCCGGGATGAGGAGCGGGCAGCGCCACGGCCACGCGACGTGGAGCGCTCCCGAGACGTCGAAGCCCGATCTTCCCGGGCCGAGGGCGGCACCACCGGTGTAGTCCGTCTCCTGGGAGCACAAAGCCCACTGTCAGTTTCCCACCAGCGACAACTCCTATCCCAAGCCTCTTGCCGGACTGCACCATCTCCGAAACTTCAGGCCCATCCCCCACCAACTCCTAAACATTCACGTACTTACACGATCCTCACAGATACCTTCTCCCAGGGTCCACCCCTATCGGAGCCCCACAAACCACGCCCCCCCAAACCCATCTGTCACTTCCCTACATCCTAACACATCCTTTCACCAGGCCCTTCTCCCAGAGGTCTCCCACAGCTCCCTGGAAACCCTTCCCAATTTTTCAACACCCACCCCAATACATGCCAGCAAACATCACTCGGATACCCACATGCTTAGCCACGCCCTTTCGCTCAACTAGACCTCAGACCCCGCCCCTTTTCGGTCCCTATCTCCAGGTTCAGCCTCCTGAATGCCGCCTCAGGCCTGCCCATCTCTCTACAGAGAGATGCCCATCGTTTTCAACTACTGTGTGTGTCCTTCCCTATGCCCCATGCAGTCCATTAGGCCCCACTCATCCCTCCGTTAGGCCCACTCTCAGGCTCTACCCGCCCTCTCCACCCTACCTGGGCCCCGCCCCGTCACTCAGGCCCCGCCCAACCACGCCCGGAGCCCACCTGCAGGCGGGGTCCACAGCTCCAAGGCCCCACCCACCCCGGGCCGCGCCCCTCACCCCCTCTTGTACATGGCCAGCTCGGTGTTCAGCGTCTTCAGCCGGACACGCAGGCTCCGCTCCGACGCCTTCACCTCCTCTAGCTGCCGGGAGGGAAGAGGAGCGTAGAGGTCCAGACTGAAGCCAAAGTCCGGGGCCCGCCGGCGCCCAGCAGGCCGCCCCGCCCCCTCACCTCCTTGGCCAGGCGGCGGCAATCCTGGCTTCGGCTGCCGGACCCGCGGTGCCCGAGGCCGCGCTCCTGCCGCAGCTCCAGCTCCAGGCCGCGCACGAGCCCGCGCAGCGCCTCGACCTCCTGGCGCGCCGCCCGCCCGGCCAGCGCCTCCTCGCGTGATCTGCCCAGCTGGGCCTCCAGCTCGCGCTTCTCAGCCGACAAGCGCGACACCCTGGGAGGAGGAGGTAGAAAGCGAATGCTGGGGCGGGGTGAGGGGCATGGTCCCATAATCCTCATTCCTCCACTGGGTTGGGCACGCACCATTTCTTGATTGGTAATTAGAGAAATGCAAATGAAAGCCATCAAGAGATGCTGAGCTGATAGGAACTTTATAAGACAGGGATCCAGCTCTCAACATCCAAACCCACCAGTCCCAACACCACCTGACAGTAGCAAATACACAGCCCCAAAGAGGAAGGCACTGTCCCAGAAACCTGAATCTGATTAGCCTATAGGTTTAACAACCACTTCGCGGGAAATAAACAACAGGGGACCACGTGAACCATGGAGATAAAATCAACAAAATCCAGGGACTTCCCTGAAGTCCGTTGAAGCTAGGGCACAAGTACACGTGCATTATACTACTGTCTACTGTGCGTGCTTGGAATTCTTCCCAATAAAACATTTTTTTAAAATCTGTGGCTCCCCCGCACTCTCCAAGGAGCTTCCCCATTCGGTCCCTTACAGCTGACTTCCCCCCTCCCCTTCTCTCCTCCCCCCTCCCTCTCCCATGGTGCTCTTTGCAAACGCAATTCCCTCCTCCTGAACCCTCTCTCCTCCTCCTGGCAGGAACCACTCCACTCATCCTCCAAACATCACATCCCAGGGGAAGCCTGCGTGCCCTCCCAGCCAGGCTGTCATGTCCCTCTATTCTCTCCTCTCCTGGCTCTCTGTACATTTCCTTCCCAGCACCAATCATGGTGGAGCTGACGTTGATCAGTGTGATTATCTGTTTTCTGTCTGCATCCTCACTCCAGCTGTCTGGTCACTGTGTAGGAACTCGGGCTCTGTGGCCTGGCTGATGGCATCCAACTCTATTCCACTTCTTTCAAGCTGTGTGACCTGGGGCAGTTTCACTTCACATCTCTGTGAAGTGGGATGATAATAATAACACCTACTGATAAGGTTGTAGGAATCTATAAAGAGCCCTTAGACTGGGTCTGGCACTGAGTGATGGCTCAGTAAACATCAGTAGGGCCAGGCAGTGTGCCTGGCACACCGTAGGAACTCAGTAAATGTTGGATGACTGAATGAATGAATCTTGGAGTCTTCCCAAACTCCCTAACTCCAAGCTGGGAAGAGAAAGGTAAGAACCAACTGTCCAGTTGTGGCTCTCAGGGCAGATGACGCCACCTTGTGGCCATCCTGGGAAACACATGCACACGCACCTGGAAGACTCGCAAGGTTCTCCAAGCCCCATGAGCTTGCACTTCTGGGAGGGGAGAGGTCTGGTCCTCCCAGGCAGCACTGAGCGCTCAGTCCTGGGCTAGCAGCTGCCAGCAGTGCACAGTGGCTGAGGAACCAAAGGTGGCTTGGGCTGATTGCCTGGATTCAAGGTCTAGCCAGGCCATATTACTTCACTGTGTAACGTGGGGCAAATTCTCTAACCTCTCTGGGCCTCAGTTTCCTCCTCTATAAAATGGGGACGATAGCAGTGCCTACTTTGGGAGGATTAAATCAGTTAAATCATACAGCACTGAACAGAGTCCCTGGCACACAATTAAATGCTCGATAAACAATAGCTACTGGTATTATTATTGTTACTACTACTAAAAATAGTATTAGCCCTCCCCAATGAGTGGGGCCCCCACCAGATGGAGACCAAGTCCCAGTCAGCCCCTCCACAGCCCTCAGCACACAGCAGGCACTCGGTAAACATGCCCATCAGGTTCCTGTCCCAGCCTCCCATAACACAGGCTCCCTTTCCTGCCTAGCCCCATCTCCATTTGCAATATACTCGGTGTGTATGTGATCAGTGTCTCTCTGCCCCCTGCGCTGGCACTACACCATGGCCAGGGAAGGGGCCAGCACAAGAGAGGCGCTTGGTGAAGGTGGATTCAGCTGAACAGAGAGCCCTGCCTCGCACCCTGTCTTTGCACATGCTGTTCCCTTTGCCTGTTTCCCTTCCCAGGCAGGGTCAGGTCTCACTCTGGACTCCCTCAGCCCCATCCATGGTGAATCTTCACTGTCTGCAGACAGATCTGTCTCCCGCACTGGACTGGGAGCCCCAGGAGAGGACAGGGCCAGAATTATCTCGGTCATTGCTGTGTCCCCAGCACCATTAACACATGGTGGGCACAGAGGAGGGGCTCAGAATAAGTATTTGGGGAATGAGGGACGGCTGTCCTTCCAACAGTGCTAAGCATTGGGTCCCGCAGTGCATGATGGGATGTGTCCCCCCCCAGCCCCAACCTCCCACCCCTACCCCCAGACTTACTGCTCCCGCAGATGCCAGATCTCAGTTTCCCGGCTGTCCCGAGTGTCCTGGCCATCCAGCCCTCGAAGGCGGCTCAGCTCCTCCTTTAGTGAGCGAATGATGCCCCGCAGGACCACAGGGTCTGGTTTGCCCTGGTACGGGAGGGGCAGCGGGTAGTGAATCCTGAGAAGGAGGATTAGAACCGTGGTATCTCAGAGGCCAAGAATCCACCCAGGAAAGGACATGTGACCATTTCTAGCCAAATACTACAGGAAATTGGCTGGGAGTCTTCCGGGAACACTTTTAGTTTCCTGATAAAAACAGCTGATACAATTAACAAGCACAGCCCTGTTCCATTTCCTCCTGCTTTGATATAGATGCAGCGCCTGGAGAAACAGCAGCCATTTTGTGACCATGAAGAGATAAGGATGCAGTCAAGAAGCCAACACGTTAAGGATGAGGAAAAGAAGAACAAAAACAAAAACAGAAGGAGCCTGAGTCCCTAACAAAACTGTTGAGTAGCAGCCATCTACCTAGACATCTCGTTATGTGATAAACTATTGTTTAAGGCACTGATAATGGTTATCCTGATACTTGTAGCCAAACACAATACTAAATGATATAACCCTTAACCCTGAAGATTCCAAAGGCTAGGCTTAAGCAACATCCCCACCTAGCCCTGAGTACCAGGGGTTCCTAAGTTCTATCCCCGTCCTCTCCCACCTGACCACCAGCTACCAGCCTGGTGGGTATACTTGTACCCACCTGTCAAACTCCACAGAGTAGATGAGGATCAGGTAGCGCTTGGAGTTGAGCTGGGCCGATCTCGAGGCCAAGGGGCCTGGGCGGCCCCCCATCTTTCGGTTCCGCAGGGACTCCAGATCTGTGTAGGTCAGCAGGTCAAGGGTAACCGACTCACTGCTCTGTTGGAGAGAATGGGAGGAGCTGCCAAAAGACCCAACGTGGCCATACCCAGAGCACACAACCCACACACCTGGGCCACGCCCCATTCATTCTTTGGGCTAGCTGGGCTTTTCCACCAGTGAGGCTGGTGATCAAGATGACCCTGCCCCATGAGGGGCTGCCACAGGACATCATCAGAGGGAGAAACTGAAAAGAACCTAAATGCTCAGCCATAGAAGACAGCTTAGTGCTGTGGCTTCCAAGTACTGTCCACAGACCCCTGGGGGTCCCCAAGACCCTTTCAGGGGAGTCCATGGGGTCAAAACACCTTGCATCATAATACTAAGATGTCATCTGCCTTTTTTGCTGTGTTGACATTTGCACTGATGGTGCAAAAGTCATGGTGGGTAAAACTGCTGGTGCCCATTAGCAGAAAGCAAGCCAGGGGCATCAAATGCACTAGTAACCATTGTATATTCCACTGCCACGCAGTCTCTGCAGGGGGATGGGAAGGAGGGAGAAACACACAAATAAATAAATAACCAGATAAAAACACAGAAAATGAAACCTAGGAATGTCCTTGATAAACCTGTAAAAATTACTAATTTTGGGGGGGCCGCACTGCGCAGCTTGCAGGATCTTAGTTCCCCGACCAGGGATCGAACCCGCACCCCCTGCAGTGGAAGCGTGGAGTCTTAACCACTGGACCACCAGGGAGCCCCAAATCATTAATTTTTTTGACTCTTGACCCTTGAGTGCACATATTTTTACTACTGTGTGTGACAAAATGGAAAGTACACATTCGGCTGCATATCAAGGTATGACATTTTCTAGGAAAAGCACTTGTGTGATTGAATTTTGAGCTAAATTAGCCACTTTTTCATGGAACACTATTTTTACTTGAAAAGGTACTGACAAAAACTACGGTTATTCAGTCTTCGATGTTTGGCAAGCATTTTCTCAAAAATGAACAAAGCAAGCCTGTCACTTCAAAAAAATACAGCTAACAGTATTTGTTTTGCAACAATAAAATTCAAACTCTAAAGTGAAAATTAGAATTTTGGAAAACTTGTATCTGCCACTGTGTGCTTGATAGCTTCTCAGTGTTGAAAGGCTTTCCTGGACAGATCAGTGAGGATATTAACAAATATGACTTCCTGATACTGTATAATGAAATGTGTCAACATTTGGAAGATTTGCACAACTCCGTGAACCAATATTTTCCAAATGACCAATGCATGATATTACAAATGATGCTACAAATGCATGATGTTAGAAAATGGGTAAAAGATCCCTGCAAAGTAAAGATACACCAATAGATTTTAATGTCACAGAACAGGAAAAGTTCACTGGTATGGTCTCAGATTCCACACTGCAATAAACCTTTAAGAAACTACCACATGTCCAGTTTTAATGTGCTGGCAAAAGAGGATATGCACAATTATCTGAAAAAGCTATTAAAGGACTCCCTTTTTCAGCTATGTATCTTCCTGAGGCAGATTTTTCTGCATGTACGTCAATCAGGACATATCACAACAGACTGCATTTCTCTGTGACTTGAATTTTCTCCATGATTATCACTATCATTAGAATTACAATCAGAATAAGGCATTTACATTTGGGAAAGAAGAAAAGAAAATGATAGCCCTGTTCCTTCAATGAAAAAGAAGGTAGAGGGTCTTGCATACATCAGGTGGGCATCTACCCTCCCAGAGACCCAGGGAACAGACAGCTCCCCCAGCCCCCAACCCTGGCCCCTACCTGGGTGAGGGCCGACTCCAGCATGTTACAGAAGATGTTGAACTGTTTGAAGTTCCCTGTCTTGTGAGTCAAATCTTCGATGACTAGGTAGGGAGAAAAGTCCTTCCTCAGGTCTGACCACTTGCCCAGCCCAAGGGCAATGCACCCAAGCTTTCCACCTTTCCCCAACACCAGTGTCTCTGGCGCAAGAGATGAGCCCTACACCCCCTCCCCAGCTTAGAGAGCTTCTAGTCAGGTAGAAGAGGCAGGTGGACAGGATCCTGACTGGCCTCATCTTCTGGGAGAAGCTGATCCCAGGGAAGGACAAGTGAGCCCACCCAGGCTGGCACACTCACAGCTGGCATCGAACTCGGCCCGCCACTGGTCGGCCGTCATCCGGTCCTCCACCTCCAGCTCTAGCACCTGCCCAGACACCATCACCCGCACGGCATGCTCCACACCCCGGAAGACGTAGTCCACCTGCAGGCCAGCTGGCTGGTCCATGGCCAGTGTCGCTGGAGAGGGGAATGAGACAGAGACCCAGAGGGGCTGAGAGCCCAGACTCAGGAGCTGGAAGGCCAGAATCCTGGTTCCACCATGTACCACCTTAGGAAAGAGACTTTGTCTCTCTGTGCCTCAATTTCCTCATCTGGAAAATGGGTACAGTAATGGCACCTACCTCATAGAGCTGTCATGAAAATTAAATTGGACAATACACGTAAAAGCACTTGGAACTGTGTCCTGCACGTTACTATGCCCAATACACGCTGGTTAATAGAATATATGATTTCCAATAAGAGGATCAAGATTAATACTATTGATTATTAATTTATTAATCCTTATACTCCTTACATATTTATTGTTTATTCATTTATTTAAACAGTCGTGGAGAAAAGTCAAGCTGTAAAGGGAGACAGAGCATTGAGATCAGGCTGGGCAGAGATTTTAAACAGAGGGTCAAGGGCAGGCCTCCCTGGGGAGGTGACATTTGGGCAGAGAACTGAAGAAGGTCAGGGAACAAGGCAAGCGGCTTCCCTAAGGAAAGTGGTCCAAGTCGAGAGACCAGCCAGTGCATGGGTAACAGATTATCCTTGATAAACTTAAATCATTTACATTGAATTAATAATTGAACTCCTTCATTAGTCCGCTGTAAGCATAAATACTTTCTCTCAGCCAACAGGACTACTACTCACTGTTAGTTCTATGAGGAGCTGGAGGAGAGGGTAGGCTTCCACCCTCAGCATGGATTCTAGGGAGTGGTTCAGAATGGGAGCCCCAGGCTGCTTGGGTTCGTGTCCAAGTTCAGCTATGTGCACTTAGATGGGCAAGTAACTTAACCTCTCTTGGAGCCAGATTCCTTATCTTTAAAGCCTGTGCCATCCTGGGTGCTGGGGATATGATGAGAAACCAGATTCTGTCCCTACCCTCAAGAGGGTGGCAACAGTTAGAGGCATAAAAATGTCAATTGGTGGGGAAAGGGGATACCAGCGAGTAGGGGTCGCTCTTTTAGCTAAGGTGGTCAGGGAAGGGCCACCCCCTCCCTGCTGAGCAGAGGCCTGGAAGGAGGGGGGGGGGGAAGACAGGTGAATATCTGGGGATTAGGATCCAGGTAGAGGGAACAGCCAGGCAAAGATTCCAAGGCAGGATGTACCTAGTTTGTTCTGAAAACACCAAGGAGGTCAGCGTGAGGGAAGGAGAGGGGGAAAGTGAGGAGATCAGAGAGGTAACGGGCCAGATGATGTTCCTGCAGGCCTTTGTAAGCCCACAGAAGGATAACAGCGTTTATCTCCTTAGATTGGTGTAAGGATTAAATGAATCAATCATGTTAAAATCCTTGGTGAAATTGAGCCATGCCTGACCCAAGCAAGCACTCAATACATATCGGCACCATCATCATTTTTTTTTATTGAAATATAGTTGATGGACAACATTATGTTAGTTTCAGGTGTACTACACAGCGACTTGATATCTGCATACATATGAAATGATCACCATGACAAACCTAGTAACCATCTATCCCCATACAAAGTTATTCCAATATTATTGATCATGTTATAAGGCTTATTTTATAGCTGGAGGTTTGTACCTCTTAATCCCCTTCACCTATTTCATCCCCACTCCCAGTCATCGCTATTCTTGTTATTATTACTTTGTTGTTGTTTCTGAGCTTGAAAGGGACTAGAGAGACAAGGCCAGCCCATTCCCTTCCCAGTATACAGATGAGGAAACTGTGGCTATGTGAGAAAAAGAGCCCTGTGCAGAGTCCCACGGGTGCTGCAAAGACAGAGCCACCCAGGGATGCCCCCAACCCAGATCATGGGGACTCCTCCAGTGCCTGACTTCCTTCTCTCCCCATTGTCTCCTTTAGTCCTCACATTTTCCCCAATTTAGTCCTTCCTAAAGTCTGATGTTGGAAAATTTAATATTCTGAGCCCTGAATCTCTAGGTCAGTGATTTTTTTTTTTTTTTTTGGACCGTGCTACTGCACGGCATGCAGGATCCTAGTTCCCCGACCAGGGATCGAACCCGCACCCCCTGCAGCAGAAGCACTGAGTCTTGACCCCTGGACTGCCAGGGAAGTCCCTCTAGGTCAGTGATTTTTAACCTTTTTAGAGTCCTTGAGCTTTTGAGAATCTAATGAGATCTCTGAACCCTCCCCAGATAAATGAATAGATCCATAACCTCTGCAAGTAATTTCAGAGTCTCCCAGAATACCACACCCCCAGGCTCATCCACAGATCCCCTTTCTCAAATGCCCAAGGACAATAGCCAGAGCCCCCAGCCATCCTGAGAGGCACGTCTCTGCCTCTAGACCCAAGCTCTTAACTTTATCTGGGGGAGGGGGTCTCTGGTGCTTTGGACGGACTGATGAAATCTGGAGAACCTTTTCCCACTCACACTCTCATAACTGTACTTTCATTCTCTGGGGTTTCAGAAGTGGGGCGGGGAGGTTAATAATTCCTGATCTACGGGCAAACAAACAGCTACACATTTCAACGTAGCCCTCATCCCCTGGCCCCCAGTGCGGGTGCCAGGCAGCGCTGGCCCCGCCCTACCGGGTGTCCTAAACCCCGCCCCTCAGGCCCCGCAAACCAATCAGCGGTTGTGCTGTCCCGGTTACCACGGCGCCAAAGGCAGCAGCGGAACACTTGAGCCACGCAGCCTAACCGCCCCATTCACCACCCCACTCTTGGTACCCAACTCTCCCGAGGAGGCAGAGGAAGAAGGGGATCCGGCCCTGCCCTCCTCCTTCCCCACTCCCCTACATAAGCCCCCCCATTCATAGCCCTTCATTAGATAACAGGGCATTTCTGCATCCCACTGCCCTGATGACACAGCCAACACCTCAGTCTCCAGATAGTAAGCCCCTGAATATTCTGCCCGAATTCAACTCTCCCCTTACACCTTCCTGCCTCCTCACCTGCACAAACTGCGCCCGCTCCCCTCCCTCCATCCTCTCTTCTAGACAGAATAAATCCCACACTCCCCAGCCAGCTCGACTCTCCCCTCCTGACCCCAGCTCCCCATCACTCACTCCCTAGATGGCCTCGAGATTCTGGCCACTCCCCTTCTCCCAGTCCCCCGTGTTCTACTGGGGTTACCCCCATATTCTACTTGAATTTTGTCCTGTCCCCCCCCCCCAACACACACACTATTCCGCCTGGATTCTGTCTGCATATTTGCCCAAGGCTCTACTCCACACACACCCCATTTTCAGCCTGTATTCTGTAACACTGATATTTCATCTGGATTCTGTTCCCTCTCAAATTCTATGTAAACTCCCCGCCCCCCCCCCCCCCCTTTTCCC